GTGGGGTGCGCGCGGAGAGCCCATGCCAGTTCCTGCACAGGTTCATCTGAGGGGTGTGACTGTCTGTCAGTTACTTAAAGCTAAAGAAGGACCTGGGCTTAGCCTATGAGACAATGCAGGCTCAGAAGATAACTGCATTTCTTAGGTCCAACTCTCCATTCTCTCAAATATTCTGCAATCCACTATGGGTATGAAAGTCTAACTATAACACGAGGACCATTGTACCAACTTGAATTTTGTTTTCCTAAGGTTCTATTAGACGTTCACTTCTCTGATACATAATTCTCTCTTTACCATTCCAACCGCAAAAGTGCTGCCTACGTTTAATGTGAGTTACCAAATTAAATCACAAATGCATTTTTCTAATTCCTCCAGATAAAGGACACTTGGCATTAATTACTTTACCAGCTAGTGCAGATATTAAAGAATTAGAACACAATACCTGCAATACTTTATATTCCACACGGGGATACAGAAAACTACAGCTCAGAACAAACAGGGCACACAGAGAGGCCCTTAGTGCGCCCAGCTGGATGTCACCCCTGGAAAGGGCTCAGGGGTCAAGGCCATGGGAACCTGCTCCTGTGAGGACACAGAGGAGCCCAGCAGGCAGCTCCACAGGCCTCGGGGCTGTGGGGAGGAGCAGGAGAGGGGAGCAGAGGAGAGGAAGGGGCGGAGCCAGGCTGGGAGGGACAGATGCTCAGGGCAGGAGCAGTCTCACAGGCCCGCAGCTGCTCTCTGGCTCAGGAAAGGACCCAGGACGCTGCGGGAGCCCAGGAGCCACGCTGGCCTCCTGGGGCAGCCGCTGGGGTGGGGCACAGCGCGGCCTCCGGTGGGCAGCTCCTCTCTGCCCTCGGATGCCCCGGGGAGTCACTGCTCAGGGCTGCCTGAGGACAGGGACAGCGGGGTCATTGCTACTTAGCAGGAGACACCCAGATGGAGGCTAGAGCTTGTCCAGGGTCACAGAGCAGCAGGGGGCAGGGCCAGGACCGCAACTGGAAGAATGAAGTCCACAGGGTTGTGCAGGGGTCTCACTTGGGAAAGGGGCTTTGACAAGCTTAGAGTGAGCTTCAACACGTTCCTGAACATGCAGATACACAAAAGTTTTGTATCATCTCTTATTAAGTGCAATAGTAATGATTTGCTGTATAAAAAATAAGAACTAGAAAATCGGTTACATTTAGCGCTCCAGATGAGAGCTGGAAATGTGTACGCTGGGCCGCCTTTCCAGTCTTGCCATCAGAGCCATCTCTACTAAACCGCTGCTCAGCAGTGACCCCCGCAGAAGGCGGGCCCTGAGGGAACGCACCTGCCATGGAGAGCCGCGCCTCCTTCTCCTCTCTGAGCACCGGGTTCCTGACCAAGCAGAACACACCTGCCTTTGAGCTTTCGTCCACCGTCACAGTGCTCTCCACGCGGATCAGTCCATCTTCTCCTATGGACTGCCTCTTAGATTCAGGTAAAAGAAGCCGTCCTCGTGGTTCCCTCCACTGGAGCTCAGGGTCCGGGTACCAGCCCGAGGAGGAGCAGGTCAGCGTAATGCTCCCCGTGTGCGCGGGCTGAACATGGATGAGAGGGGGTGCACCTGAGGCTGGAGGGGACAGGGGAGGGAAAAGAACGCTCACTTTGAGTTTACAAGCAGGACGGGTGGGCCCGTCACCTGGTGCTTACTCATGAGCCTCTCTGTGAATCTCAATTCTGCACTCGTGAAAATCGAGTGACAGGACAGCTAGGCATACGTATTTCCCTTAACACTTGTTTAAGTAAATTAAATTAACTATGCCAGCACTATATGGGCTACGAGGAGTGCCGTATCGTTTTCCCTCCCTCCTCCCCTGAGGGGGACTCCTCCCTGTCTGCTGGCTCCTGGGTGGAGGTGAAGTGCTCTTCTGTCCCGTGGAGCCCGAGAGCTGCAGATCGCGCAGCACCCCAAGTTCTCCGTGGTAAAACCCAGGCGACCTCACAGTACTCCCTTAGCCACTCCTGACCTGCAGCAGAACTCGGTACCAGAACCTGGGACTGGGCAGGGACCCGTCACATGGTCCGGTCATCAGACAGCAGTACCGTGTGTGCAGCGCGAGCTCCGGGGATGACTAAGCTGAAATCTGCTCCACTTACTTGCTACCAATTCAGATTTAATTGTTCTGAGTGTAGAACAGGGCTCAGCAGAGCACCTTATAGAGCTGTGCATCTCAGTGCCGTCCGTCAGTGCGCACCCGCCAGCTGAGCACCGCACAGGCCCAGGGCGCCTGGTCCGCAGGCCTGGACCTAAGATGCCGACGGAAGCGATGCACCGGATGTGCCCTGGGCGTCCTTCAGCCAGCACACAGGAAGAGAAGGCAGTGAGCCATGCCTTCAGGCTCCTCTTCCTCTCCAATCCTGACCTGGGGCCGTCCTCAGAGTGGGCAGGAAGGCTTCACTGAGACCCTAGTGTCTACCTGTCCCCGCCCCAGGTCCGTGCTGCAGAGCAGAGCTCCAGAGACGAGCAGCCCTGCTAGGGCAACACGGGGTCTCCTTGAGGGGTACACAGTAAGGAAAGGGGCGGGGATGGGGTGCTGGGACCCTGCAGAGACTGAGTCTCCAGGGGAGCAGATTCCTGACCTGGGCCTCCTTCGCTCCTCCAGGACAGGGCGGACTAAAGCAGTGAGGGAAGGCAG